GCGTTAGTTACGAATGGAGGTAGCTCGGCTTAAGCCTCTACAGGACCCACTACCCCGACAAACTACCCACAGCCGACGAAAGAACCTCACTGCCTACGTATTAGCACGAAAGCCACCAAAACCAGGGACGAAGTAAGTAAAGGAAACCTTGCTAGAAACCTCCCCATAGAGAGGGCCATTAGCTTGATTCGAGGAGCCCTTCTCAAGATAGACAAGACAAGAGGTGTTGAAGTGATAGGAGTAAATATAACTCGCACCGGATATGTGGTGCGATATAAGGATGAATAATCAGCGGCGACGGTAAAGGACATACGGAATGGCTGTAGGATCTTGGCAACAGTACTAAGCTAGTCAAACCACGATACCTAGTGGTCGTCCATAGGTTCCCTACCGACGGCATTAAGCTTCCATGGGAACACGAATTTATTCGCCAACTCATGGAAGAAAACGAGATGTAGACTAGGAACGCCTATATCGACGAAGCTACATAGCTCATTGAAAAAGGAAAGCCACTAGGGTACTATGCGACACTCGGAATATGATTTAACACGGAGGATGCGGCATAAGAAGCTATTATATATGGAATAGTTTATAGTCAACGACATATAGGGGTATCGGCCTATGACCCTGAGAGGAAGAAGTATTATAATTACCGCCAGCTAGGACACTTCTAGAGGGACTGTCTAAGACCTAAAGGATGCTACCTCTATAATGGCGATAATGAGCGACGAGACTATCCATCTAACGAAGGAGGTAGAGATAGCAACCGTTATAGACCCGACCGCATTAGAGTCAACGAACAGAATGGGCCTACCCAAGCAAACCGTTCCTAATAAATAAAAATAGTTCGAAAATACTACAGTTGAACATCATGAAATCGCGCGCCGGTATGGAGGCTCTCATTAATGACCTGGCAACACAGGACCTCGACGTGCTGCTAATACAAGAGCCGTCCATCACCTCGTACCAGATATATGTCAACCACCGCCTCTGGCACACCTATTAACTAACTCATCAAGATGACAATATCCGAAAACGTAGCCTCATCTACGTCAACAAAAGAATCTCGACCCCAGCACGCATATCGCACTAACCCCGAAGTGACGAGCGGTTTTGTATTAAGTCTAGGCACCACGTAATGAAACACCCTAGTAATGAAACACGCGTTTTTTTACCACTAATAGTACTATAATCATAATTTACTAATTATATAGACTCATTAGCACTAAATTAATGTATAAATAGTGCTAGGGTGTTATTTAACTATCCATTCCACGTAGTATTTCTAGTATTCGGTCGTATAGAAGACCTCGTCGTCGCCTCTAATACCTCCATTCCCTACCTAGCCTACCTAATTATCTCGATATTCGTAAAGACCTTATTATAGTCGATTACGATACGCGGTTATCTCCTAGCGACTAGCTTATCTAGT